GTTGTTGCCTATGAACAACTATTTAGGGTTAGCGCTTGTGTTTAAAAAAACTTTAAACTGCTGTAAAATGGTTACACGACTCGACGAATCAAACATTTTATAGTTATGTACTGTAGGTGTTTTTGAGAGGCGCCCACAAGGAGCATAGCTAGAAACCAAGTGCTGAATATTAACCAGAAAAGCTGTATATCTACTATACTATATATGTTGAATTCAGACATTATTGAATTTAACTGTCAGACACTTCAGGTTCTTTTTACCCCGTTGATTTTATGTTAGAAACCACAGATTTCTTTTGTTTGTGAAGCCTTTCTTCTTTTCTTTGTGGAAGAGGTCATTTCCACTCAGCCTCTGATCACGCCCCCTAATAGCGATCCATCAGTTTCATTTTTATGCCCTGCACTATTTCACAGCATTGAGCCTTTATTACTGTCATTTTTACAGGAGACTGTTGGTCATTTAAAGGCTTCAGGTTATCCTCATGACTGTACTCCTGCAAGACTCGTTGTGTAGCTGCTGCTAACAGGTGGGTTTTCAGTTCTGCAGATTGTCAAGGACAGTCTGTCTTTAAGAATTGTCCCAAGATGTTTCAAAAGGAAAAGTCTGGTCATATTCAGAATAAACATTTCTGAAAGCACTTTAAATATGAAATTATTACAAACTGTTCAATAAATGATCAGTGTTTTTAATTAGGAGTAATGTTCATTTGAATGCGCTTTACTGGAAGAATCCATGTTTGTCAAAGAACACTACTGCCACCTACTGGTTAGTGACGTCACGGTGCGGTATCGGCTGTTGATCAAGTCCCAGTGCCACCTGGTGTTTGTCACAACGCGCTATTATCCAAGTCATCTTGAAAACATTCTTCTTCGAAATGCTGACTACATATGATGTGTTTTTCTCTGGCCAGAAGTTCGATGGCAAATCCTCCCTCTTCAAGTTGGCGATCCAACGACCAACCCGTCCGTGGAGGATCAGGAATCTGAAAGGTGGAATAACTCTTTTTTTCACTTTTACCCGATGTATTCCAGCATCCAGCTGCCATGCACGTGGGCATTGTCAGTTTCACTATAGCTCTGGTGAATTTCAGTGGTGAAGACCTCTGAAATCTTCAATAATTGTTGTTGATTGCAGATGTGTCTAGTAGTTCCCATTGATTTAGCTTGTAAAGCGGGGAGAATGGCGCTAGGCTTACCGCACCGTGATGTCACTGCTGGAAGATGGCAGGAGGGAGGGGCTACTATATTTGGGCTAAAATGGCCGCTCCCAGACTCAGTGATTTCAAGGAAAATTATTAATTTAAATTTTTTACTGATTAACACTAAATTCTTTAATTCATCGCAAACGTATTGGTTTCAGGTATAGATAATGATCCACTTATTATTCCTTGCTGACCAGACTTTTCCTTTAAGGAAGCTGTAGTTCAGTCTGTTCCTAAAAAAAACCTAACCTGGATAAAACAGTCCTCAGTAATCTTAACCTTAGATCTATTTTAAAACTACCATTAATGTCTAAAGCTAGTTTACATTTAATTTAAACTGTATGTGTAGATCATTTTAAATGATCTACACATACAGTTAACAGTCTTTCTTTTAGTAAATAATGTTTTTGAAATTTGCCACTCCGATTTTAATTTGGCACAGCACTGGGTCTGCCCTTTTGAACGTTTTTAACGATATTTTCTTAGCTAGTGACTCTGTTGAATGTGCTGTTCTTTTGCTGTTAGATCTAACTGCAGCCTTTGATAGAGTGGCTCATAATATCCTTTTATCTTGTTTTGAGCATTGGGTGGGGGATCTGTGGAACAGCACTGCAGTGGCTCAGGTCCCATCTGATTGATTAAAGATTTCGTGTCAGTTTGGGAAATTCTGTGTTCCCCAAAGATCCTCTTTTATATGGAGTTCCTCAGGGTTCAGTCCATGGCCCCTTCTTTTTACTCTTTATCTGCTCCCACTTGGATCCACTCTTTGGAAGCACAAAGATTTTTTTCATGTTTATGCAGACGATAGTCAGATCTATGTCCCACTGAGGTCAAACAAATCTCTGTTGAATCTCTTTTGAAATGTTTGGATGAAGTAAAAGCAAGGAATGTTTTAAACTTTTCACATTTTAATGAGAAAAAGACAGAAGTGTTTTATTGAGGCTCATCAGAGAGCCTACCTTTACACCTAGGCTATCTAGATCAGTTTGTGAAGCCAATGGTCACAAATTTAAGTTTTGAAATAGACAGCCATCTTAGCCAGATTAAAGCTGTTGTCAAATCCAGGATCATTCAGCTGCTGCTGCTGACCTTAATAAAGGTCATACTGTGTGCAGCACAATTTGAAACGGTGATCCAACACTTTGTGACGCTGGAATTCTGTCTGTTTAATGCAGCAATTGAGTTGATTCCTTCCCGCCATTATTGTACCCCGAACCCCTTTACAGGGGAACAGAAGACCTCATCTATTCAGCCAGGCCAACAATTCCCCCTAACAACCCCCCCTTTCAGAGACATATTTTGGTGTTAGTGGATCGTTAGTTGCTTGCAGACAGTTCAAAATTCTGCTGCACAACTTTAAGTCGGGAGACATGAGTTTTGTTGGGATCTGGAGAAGTACCACCTTTCTCCAGCAGAGTGCGCCGTGGGTCTCCTGGGCTGGAGGCCTCCAGCACACCTGGACCTCGTCAGCCCATCAGGAGACCTTCTCTACTTAAGCAGCTGCCAGACCTTCCTTCAACGCCGCAGTGTTGACCTTAGTTTGGTTAGCAAACCTGAGCCTCTGTTACCTGAAAGAATCTTTGTTATCTCAAGAGAGAAACCTGATTCTAATCTGCCTCTGTCTTTGCTCACAGGAAACCTGTCTCAAGTCTGAAGCTCTGGATGAGCTTAACCTGCCTGCCAGCCCTGGTGAGCCAAGCCTGAAGATTCCAGTCTGGATTTTCTCCTGCTGCTCTTAGAGAAGAGCTGGAAACTCTGATCAAGGTCTGCCATTCAAAGTCAGAAGCTAGACGCTGCTGCTGCTTGTGCACTCTGCTGAACCAACAGTCTCTGGACCCAACGGTTCCCTCCCTCACAAGTTAAGCCTGGACATCTTCAAGGTAGACTCAGAACAATCTTAAAACTCAATTAATCTTCTGACTGCCTGGCTAATCAAACCGTCCATCTCTGCAGACATCAGTGAACCCAACCCGGACCAGTACCTGATCCAGTTCATGTTCTTGTGTCAATCTAACTTCAATAAACTCTGTTAAACTTTTACTCAGCCTCCGTTTGTATTCTGCATGTGGGTTTAACCTAAGAACCAATCATGACAAGTTTGAACATAACTCCCCACTTTTAAGTTCACTTTACTGTCGGCCAGTTAATTTTATACATTTAAAAAGTCTTTTATTTTGTCTTTTAATAGCCTTTCCCCATAATATATCACTGATCCCTTATATCCTGTATATCTGTACCACTTTCTTCTCTAATGTAGGCTTATCAGTTACTCCTGTACCTAGAAGGAGACATAAACTCGGTGGACACCTTAACTTCTCTGTAGAAATGATGCTGCTGCATTTCAGACAGGCTTCCTATTTGTTTTTAAATCTGTTTTAAAGTCGCGTCTTTTCTATCTGGCGATTAATACTCAAAAGGAGGTTGGTGTTGGTTGATTTGATGTTTTATTTCTTCTATATTCTATGCTGTTTTTACTTATTTATTTATTCATATTTTTTAATGAGTCTTGCATTTTATGGTGTTCGTATTTCTGCTTTCATGCAGCACCTTGGTCCTATTTCTTTTGTTAAAGTGCTATATAAGTTGGATTGGATAATACTTGCATTGAAACTCTGTTGCTTTTAATGTTCTAACTAATAAATCATCCAGTTCCAACTGTTAATGACATAAAGACAAAGAAACCAATTGAAACAGACAGCTGCGATTTAAATACTAAGTTGTAAACCACACAAAATCCCAGAACAAAGTCAGCAGATGTGTGGTCACCCCTGACTTTATGCATTTACTACAGATCTCCACAGCCGATGTCGCCTTCAGGCAGTTCAACCACTGCATCCAGGTCATACATCACAAAGTGAATTGTAAAGCACTAGAGGCAGTGGAGTGAAGCACAGCACCTCAAGACATGTCTTCTGAAGAGACAAATCACGTCCCTGTAATAAACAATCTAAAGTAACAGTCAACTCTGGGTTTGGTTCTACACAAACATTATGCAAAGAGACATACTCTATTCAATAATCAATCCCAGTCCTTCACAGAATGGCAAGCATTTATACTTGACATATTCATTTTGACGTATTGATTATTGTTCTAAATATGAATACAATTGTAGATATATAAAAATATCGCAGTGGTATAACTGAAAGTCAGCTACGGTACAAAAAAGGAACTTAAACTGCTGACAGGCAGGTTATGTAGTTTATATACCACTGTAAGCAGAAACAACAATAAATATTTAACTGAAAACATTCTGGGTTGATAAATACATTCAGATGCAGGAGTCAGAATGCGAATGCAAATTCAAAACCCACACCATGCAGTGTGCACCATCTGTTTGTACCATCACAAACAATCCCAGTTAACCCATCTTCTCCATGTCAGAAAAAAAGTGAATTATTTAACTACAAATGGAGGTGGAAACAGTTTTCCTGGCAGAAAAAGACCAGAAATGACCAACATTCATCCCTGCATGGTTTCTGCAGCTGATCTCAGCAGGAAGTCAGATTAGGGTGAAACTCTGAGCTTGTTATCAACTTTCACTCATCAAAAGTGAAATAAACTGGACTCATTTATTACAAGCTTCCTCTGAGCTTCTCTATGACATCCCTGGCAACAATAAAAAAATATCTTGATCAAAATCAGTCAGCACATAGACCCCCTTTATTAGCTCGAAGCATCAAGCTCAAACTGACTGGAAAACTGACACAGTTTTAATGAGTTGGTGTTAGAGATCTGATATGGTTGAACATTGTTTATCAGTTGCCGACGGTGATTTTTGGTGTCTCTTTCTGATACTCACAGGAGGAATGGCTGCTGGGGAAGCTCTTGCGTCCTTCTGAGACCAACTCCGGCTCTCCAGTGCACAGCATCTTTGCATTCATTTGACCGTCTGGAAAACATCGCTGGAAGTAATCTGGCCTTGGTCTGAAAATTACAAAGAGAGTTTTCATTTTGCTCTGTGATTCAAATGCATCAAGAACACAATTTCTACTACAAGTCTAAAAGTCTCTGATCAAAGACAGCAACCTCAAACGATACATCACTGACAGCGACTTGAAGGACTCGTTTAGCATACCTGCCAACAATCAGCTTAATGGTATTTGTGAAGACTCCATTTAAAGCAAGTGCCAGGGACACAGCTGAGGAAAGAACACAGAGATAAAAAGAAAGCTTATAGTTTCTCATTAATGATATTTTTGAAACAGATGGATCTAGTGATCTTTTTATTCTAATTAAAAATACTTAATTGTCCTCAAAAGGTGTTTTGGACAAGCAGAGCAGCATTAGAAATAGATACAGCTAATATAATGGAAATGAACAAAAACAGAAAGTTTGACAATTCAATTAAATTCAGTTTATTTATATAGCGCCAAATTCACAACACATCTCATCTCAAGGCACTTTACAGTTCAACCAGATCATACAATCAAATTGATACAAAGTTTTCTATCTAAGGAAAACAAGTTGATTGCATCGACTTATTGACTCTTCAGCAATCCCTCACACTAAGCATGCTTGTAGCGACAGTAGAGAGGAAAAACTCCCTTTTAACAGGAAGAAACCTCCAGCAGAACCAGGCTCAGTGTGAGCGGCCATCTGCTGAGGCCCACTGGGGTTCAAGGAGACAGAAGCAGAGATACAAAAAGCAGCTGTAAAAGGCGACCCCGTCCAGGAAACACACAGCCAGGCAGACGAGCTCCAAGGCAGCTCCCATGCCAGAAGACGAAGAGAGCACGTCCACTCAGTCACGGTCAGAGAAACAGGACCACACTAGAAAACAGCCCGATCTCCAGCATCTTTAAACAAGGGTGTTTATATATATATATATATATATATATATATATATATATATATATATATATATATATATATATATATATATATATAAACAATATGTAAAAACGAAAAAGTTAGTTGAACTCAAAATTTCAAGGCAACCGACTGCACAGAATTTTTGAGTTGGAGGCATCAACTTAATTTTTTAAGTTTTGTAGAACTACACTTATTAAGTTGTGTCAGCTAAGTTTTTTTTTTAATTCAAGTTACTGGAACTTCAAGTCTGTAAAAAGGTATTATTTTAAGTTCAGATTATCTGTAAGAAGTTATTTTAAATTCAGATTACCATCCCCTGTAATAACTTACATTTTTGAGTTTAAATCCCCCCCCACCCCCCATTAAATCATCCACTGACAGTAAACCAGTTAAATTTTGCATGTTTATTTGAACCACTTTGGCAAAAACCGGTTTACAATTCCACAATGTAAACAAGCAATGTAAACCAGTAATCTTATGCTTAAAGCAAATCAGGTTTCAGCATATATTTTTTTACTTTTGTTAAAGAAAAATGATTATTTTTAGTTTTTAATACAGTTAATCTTATGGCATGTGTAAGAGATAAGATAAGATAAGATAAGATAATCCTTTATTTGTCCCACAGTGGGGAAATTGCAGCGTTGCATCACAGTACAGTAGGAATGTGTAAAAGGTATGTTGAGCACTCTCATTTTGAACATATTTCTTAATTTTGAACAAGTTTGTGAAGATAACCTTTCCTTTAACCAAATTACTGAATTTAAGTTTGTTCCTGAGAATTTATGGCAGGAAGAGGCCCCGCATTCCACAGCTATTTTGGGAAATCTTATCTTATGTTTTCCTTAGCCAGATGACCTTAGAATTCCTGGAGGCCAGGCCGTAAATTAGGGGAAGTTCTAAGTTTTTCTGAGTGTCCAAGGTAGCTCCTGGTTGGAGGAGCAAAAGCCAGCCTTATTTGAATAAATTAAATACAAGAGGATAAAACTTTCTACATAGAAGTAACAAATCAGATTTGCTCTTGCAACTCTCCAAAGATGTCTTTGTACGTCTTTGCTTTCTTTCCTTCTCTCCATTTATGTCAGGTAAATGAATGTATGTCTCCGTTGTTCTGCAGTTTCTGGTGTAAGTTTGTGCATTGTCTTCTAAGTTTATGCATTGTCTTATATTGGATTAAACTCTGTAATTCTGTGACGTCAACACGCGTTTGGTGTTTTTCTTGTGGCTACACGTGGCTGCCGAGAGGACCTAGGATCAGAGGAAGAGAAAGAGCCAAACTTTTTCCAAAGTTAACAATTTTAGAATAATTTCTTCCTTAAAACTTTCCAACTCCTGTTAAAACCTTACAAATAATGCAATATTGCCAGAGATGACAGGAAACCAGTGCCTTAGTCTTCTCTTGGACGAGTCCTCCAAGTTACCGCCAGCAGAGTGACCACATGGCTGATGCAAACTTTAGAAGGGAGCTCCTGGGAAAATCCATGGAAACCCCGTAGCAGCTGTTTGCCATGACAAATTTGAAATGAGCATGCACAGATAAGTTGACTTTGCTCGGACTGGGTGTCAACTACAACTTCTAAGTAAACTCAACTTAAATTATAGAATAAGATGAACTTTTAATCAGAAACTTATGAAAGTGAGTTCAACTGGCTTACAACAGACAGTTCAAGTTCCAACTGCCAATTTTATTGTCAACTATATATATATATATATATATATATATTTTTTTTTTCCTTAATGCATCTTTTTCCTCCTTGTTTGCACCTTATTTAATTTCTATGCCAATATGTGACGAGTGAATTTCTTCGCTGTGAGATCAATAAAGATCATCTAATCTATTCTAATATACTGTAATCATGATTTAAAGATTTAAAATACAGTAGCAGCCAATCAAAATGGCCCTAACCAGTCAAACGGCAGCTGGATGTCCGCCAACTTCCCAACAAATACCCTCCAACTTCCAGCCACTGGCGTGCTCATGGAAATTCTTTTTTTTTTACTGACTCAAACCTTTCACTGAATTACAGGGTCTGACCAGGAGATGATGCTTCTCTTTAGATCTCAATGTCCCCAAATCATGAAAGAAAGAATATTTTAGTACAAAGATTGATGTTTTAAAAAGGAATTGTACCGGACTGGCCACGGGCCCTTCAAGGAAGGTGAGGGAAAATTTGAATGGCTACTACTATGAAAATAGAGGAGAACCTGCATTATAAAACTGTCTAGAAAATACTGTGGTGTTTGAAGGTCAATTTTAGCAGGAGGGGGGGAATATAAATCAATGTCTCAGTCTTACAAAACATTCTTAATCACAATGGGATCTAGAGACGTTAAAGCCAACCTGCTTACATGATTTTGACCTTATCCATCCATTTATAGCTGCAATGTAGTTATTATCTGATGGCTACTTCCACCAGGAGATAGCAGTATGACACAATGCTCAAATCATCTCAAACAGATTTGTTGAACATGTAATCTAATGAACTCCACATAGTGTGCAGATCCTAATCAGTTGTGGTGAATTAAGACACTTGGTTTGCTAAAAGTACAAAATGTTCTGCACATCTGAGGAAGACGGTAAACAAAAGGGGAAGAAACATTTCGATGCACAAAAAGCAGCAGAAACATGAACAGAGACTGAAAAATGGGAAAGCCTGGACATGGGTGTTATTCTCTGAAGAAACAAAAGCTAGCCATCTCATACCAACATATTATTTCTGCAATTTCCTTTTAACTTGGAAATAAGTGACCTGCCTCACTGGTGATAATGACTTGGAGGAATTTTATTAGAGAACAATGTTGTTTCCTGTTAACGGTTATGGCTTACACTAAAAATCTACCGGCTGCAATCAAAGCTCCACATTTAAGCCTAGCTTCTATGTTCAGCTATTAATCTTTTTTTTAACATAGTCACAGATGAAGAAAGCTAAAATCTAATCAACCAAACACCCATCTGTTCTCTTTTGTCATATAAACTGATGATATAACTTGTTTTTTTCTTAAACAACACCTACATTCATCTTGGTTTAAGCAAATAAAAAGTCGATATCTTGTGAAAAGGAGATGAATTGACTCATTATCACTAGAAAACCAGCTTTGCTTTGTCCAGACTTTCATCGTGTCAATTCCCCTCTGTTGGTGCATCAGTCTGTGTTTGTGGTTGTACATTATCTCTACCCCTCATAGCTCTATATAGGCTCACTTACCTGTGTACATCACCTTTTCAGGCCATTGCGGTAAATTTAACATGGGTTTTCATCCAGTCCTCATCAGATTATCCAGCCGTATCACTCTGATAAAGCACCAATGCTTCAGTCACTTGCAGGGGATGTTTATCTTCTTGATGTCTGTTCGAAGTAACTCTGTCCCTCTGTGCCACAGATCTTCATTTTGAAGATGAACTGCCCTGCACCTTCTCACTCCAAGTGGTTTTACCTATCTTTTATTTGCTCCAATTTGGAGTCCATTTATGGTTAAAGGAAGTTCACTCTCATAAATTGTGGTTGGTTAGTTTTTAATTAAGGCAATTCCAAAAATGAAGAGACTATGTTCAAAAGACATACAATTTTTGTTGCTTCCCTAAAATATAAAATGCGAAATTGCAGTCAGGTTCAGATATTTAATAGTTTGATTACATGATCTTAAACTGATGTAATACCACCTTTAGACAAGCAGCTGCTTTGACATTCTCTGCTCTGAAAATTTAGAGCTGTGTCTTAAGAAAATGCATAGAAGAGTCATAGTTTTGGTTCTGTTTTATCTTTGGTTTTATTTCCATTTTGTAATATTCTAGTTATTTTTAAATATATTTGAGTTATTAGGTATTTCTTTTTTGCTCTCTGTTGCCCTCTTGTGTTGGTTTCCTTTTCCCTGGCTCCCTTCTAGTCTCCTCTGTCCACCCCTGCTCCCAATCTGGTGATTAGTCTGGTCTTTGGTTCTCTCTCCCATATATGCACCCCCTGCTAAGTCACTGTTTGTTTGTTGTAATTTATTTGCTCCCTTGTTGTGAGTATTTCTGGACTTATTTTTGGACTTTGTTGCTGTTGTTAGTTTGTATTCTACTTTTGTTACCACCTTTGTTATTAAATCTTCAAGGAACCACTTCAGCTTCAGTCTCTGAATTTGGGTCCTCTTCAAAACTCCACCCAACTTGACAATAAGAAGCAGCAGCACCTTAAAGAGAAACTGCTGTTGTTCCTCTTGGGTCTTTCATATATTACATAAAATCTATCATTACTACTTTTGTCAAGTATAAATGCGAATTAATTTAGCAAAAATCCATAGAAATACAGTAGGAGAGAAGTTGAAGAGAAAACACATTAATACTGAT